AAATATTACAATAAATAAAAAATATTATTGATTATACTCAATTGTATTGTATAGTTAAATAAAAAACATTATAATTGATTATGTATTTATTACAATAAATAAATAATCATTATTATTTTTTCATTAAAAATAAATCAGCAAAAGCTAGAGAAATAAAGACTATTATAACTAAGTATTTTTTTATTATTTAAGATTTTTTATTTTTAAATATTTTTAGACTTATCAAATATATATAGTTTTACAAATTGAATATTGTATTAGATTTAAAAATTTTGAAATATTTACATAACTATTTATTAATATTTTTGTTAGAAAAAAAACTAAATTATGTAAACACATAATCATAAAGTAAATACTCTAAGATAAATATACTAAATAAAATATTTTTAATTAATTTTAAATTTTAATATATTATTAAAATATTAATTGGATATTGCAATAAATAGACAAACACTCAATGTTATTAATTTTAATTAACTTTAAATTTTATGAGAAAACAAAGATAGAGTAGAAAACATCATAAGTGGATAAAATACTTATAAAAGTTTATTATTAATTATTTTTAGATTTGTTTTTGTAAATCAATTATTTATGTATATATTTTTTTGAAACTATATAAATTTATATTTATATAAATTATTAACTATTAAATATACAATGAATTTTATAAAACATTTTAAAAATTAATTGATTTATTTTAGTTAAACAATAAATTTTGTTTGAGATATTTTTTTATATTGTTAAATGTATTGTTAACTATTAGAAATTTAATTTTACATACATTATTCTAAAAGTATTCTAATAATTAAAAAAAATTAAATGTTATTAAAGTAATTAATAAAAATTATACATAAATAATATACATGACTGAATATAAATATAGTAGCTTAATATAAATTATCTGAATGGTCAGGGGAGTCATCCTCACTCTGTCGTCCAAAAGTGTTATCATTGATTCGTGAGTTTGAGTTTCCCAAGAGATAGTATATAACATTTTATGTGCATTTTTTATATATTTAACTACTATATTAACATCAACAACACAGTTACAGTACTATAGAGAATAGCAATTATTTAAAAAATTGAATCCATTACTGTATTAAAATACAGTATATATATATAGTGAATAAAATTGATTATGTTAATGATTAATATATTTGGAAAAAAATAAATTAATATTTTAAAAATTTTTTGTTTTGTGACCAAACTCAATACATTCATTACAATACAAAATAACATGTTTTCATACAATTTATAAGTTTGGTTTCAAATAAATAAACAAACTTTTTGAAATAAAATAATAACAATTATATACTGTATGTTCATTTTAAAGCTGTCAAATATAATAACATACAGCACTTAAAAATATTGTAGATATACTATTAAAATTTATTATATTTATTGTATCAATACATATATAAAGTCAACTGTGTATTACTAATTTTAAATAACACGATAAACCAACAAAAAGATCAATAATATAACAATAATAAAATTAAAATTTATGCAATACTTTACTTATTTGGTTGAATGCTTAGTATTACACTCATAGGAGTGATAAAAAAATCTAGATTTACTTTTAAAGTTGATATATAAAATATGCAATTTTTTTTTTGTTATTTGTATTGTGTGTTCAATAAAATAAAATTTACTTTTTTTATCTAAGTTTGATGAATTCTTATTTTTACATTTAAATAAAAACCATATATTTGTTAAAAATAGATATCTATAGGATATTCTTTATATTCTTTGATTTTTTTATATAAAAAAACTTTTATGTAATATAAATATGTTATATATATAATACTGTATGTATTAAACAAAATTGCTATTAGCATTTCAAATTTTTACTTAAAATAATTATACAATAGATACAGGAAAATTTTAATTTGTATGTTTTTTTAGACTAATAAATGTACTGTTTTGACATTTTTATATTATAAATATACACTATACATTAAATATTAACATAAAACAGTAACGTATATACTAAAGAAATATAGAAGTATATAATAAATATTAATAATTTGATATTTATATATTCATTAAAAATTTAAAAACCAAATGTATTGAATTTATAATAATTATAAAATCTTTAATATAATAATAAATATTTTAAACATTATTTTTATTGATAAATTCTATATAACTATATTATTTCCCATTAAGATTTAAGTATAATTCAGTATAAATTAAGGTAAATTTAATTTAATTAATATTGTAATAATATAGGTCGTTATATTTATAAAAATATATATAAAATAAATTATATTAATTTTTATTAATTAAAATCGTATACAGTATTAAAAAAATCTATTATTAAATCGTTTATTTCAACAGTGCAGACATCGTTTGGCAAATAATAAAAATAATATTATATTTACACAAAAACTTAATGTTATTTTATTTATAAATCTAGACATTAGAGGTCATTACTCTTTATCTCTTTCTCTCTCTCTCTCTCTCTCTCTCTCTCTCTCTCTCTCTCTCTCTCTCTCTTTCTCTCTCTTTCTGTCTTAAAATAAAATTTATTATAATATTTATTTGAAAAATCCCTTAATTTATTTAATTTATAGATTCTAAGAAATATAACAGTTGTAATTTATAAGTTTTGATAAAAGTAAAATTGTATTTTATACAAAACACTTTTTTTTTATAAATGTGTTATATTTATTTGGGAACAATTTATTGATCAAATTATGGTATTAACAATAATGCAATTTACAATAAAATAAAAAAATAATAATTTTTAACACCCTCTACGCTAACTGTTAAGCAATAAATCACATTTAAAATATCATTCAATTTATCAGATAATAGCAAAATAATTTGTGAGTGAGTGAGTGAGAGAGAGAGAGAGAGAGAGAGAGAGAGAGAGAGAGAGAGAGAGAGAMAGAGAGAGAGACTAAGAGAGAGAGAGAGAGAGAGAGAGAGAGAGAGAAAGAAAAAGAMAAAGAYAGAGAGAGAGAGAGAGAGAGAGAGACTAAGAGATAAAAATTATATAATAGTATACTTTTTCTTTATTTTTAAAATAAAATTTCATTTTTTTCAAAATCAATTTAATGTGTAATTTACTGTTTCTTACGTATGGTTGGGATAAATTATTTTGCAAAATTTCTGACAAATATTTTTCCAAAAGTGTAATAATTGTAAATTTTTTAATTTTAAATCTAATTTAATTATATTATTGCTTTTTTTATATAAATTAAAAATACAATAAACAATATTCAATGGATGACATTCATGTGGAATTATTTTTGTAAGCAAATAATTTTAAGTATTTACTATTAAAATCATATTTTTTCAATAAAAATTATTGTCTATTAAATAAAATCAAGTTTGTCTAAAATCTATGAGAATTATATATATAAATCAATAATCCGTTTAATTGAATGAAATTTGTAGTAATATTATTTGAAAAGCCATTCATCTGCTAAATAACGATTCAAATGGATATTGAGTTTAGATATGATTACAGACTTTTTAAGACTCATCGATGTTATCACTATTTTTATCGCTATATGTAATGCTATTTTTGAAAACTTTAATAAATTGATTAAATTTAAGCTTTTGTTTTTTAAACTATCAAATATATATTTTACATTATATTGTATATTACTCTTTATAATTTGAATTTTTTTAATCCATTATTTATCTTACCTTTTAGAAAATTGAAAATAAATATACATATAATTACTTTTTTAATGAATATATCAAATATTTTATATAATAATAATAATAGTACTGTAATACTATATGACTCAGTATAAACAAAATATTAACATAAACTTATTCAAGTAAAATATAATTATTCAAATTTTATTATTCAAAAATGTATATAAAGTTTGAATAAATATAATCATTAAATGTAATAACAAAAAAAAATAATTTGTATTAAATTTTATAAATAAACAAAATATTAGTTAAATTTTTACAGATAATAAACATTATTTTAATTACTTTTGTGTAGGCAAGATATTTTATATCAATATGACATATTTTAATTATAATTACAATTTTTAAAAATAAATATCAAAACTTAAAAATATATTTGATTTTAATAAATATTAAATAAATGTCTTTTGTTGGTATATTGTATAATAATAAACATAACAATACATGTAATAACAAGTGTCATAATATAGTGCAGGTTGTAATAAATAATATAACAATTATTTTTCTAGACTAATATATTTAGTAATATATTATATACCAGTTAACAGTAATTTATATTATATAATAAAATATTATTATATGATTATTATAATAGTATTTTTTATTGTTGTTATAATTTGACATAATTTAATAAGTTTCAATAGATATTTCATAATAATGACAAGTAGTATAATCATTAAATATTTTTAATATAAAATATTACATAACATTACATATTATTTAAATACTGTAAATATAGTTTTGTAATTTCTGAACACAACGATAGATAAATTTTATAATTTACAATTAACATTAGTTTAATTCATTTATATTACATTATCATAAAATATAAAATTGATAAACAAAACATAATTAAATATTATACATATGTAAATGTAATATATTTTTAATTTATGTATATTATATTTAGTTAATACATATAATTTATATGTTTATTTAGATAAATTAAAGAGAAAATAAACAATTGACACTGACACTTTATTTTTATATAAATGTCCATCGTACAAAAATAAAAACCATTTATAACATACAATATAATCACATAAAATATAAACTGATATAGTTTCAAAACAATTTTGTTGTTTTACACCATTAAGTTTATAATTTAATGTGTTTCACTAAAATGTTTTTTATGTGATATAAAGTGATGATTTTTTTATTATTATTATTTAATGTATTTATTTTAATAAAATATTATACGTTTAAACTGTTTTTACTTTTTTTCAGTGTGTATGTGTATTTAAGGAGCACTGGTATGTTTTGGTCTATAATATAATTTGAGGTATATATACGGTATATATATATATATAATATTAATATATGATTTAAAGTACAGAATTATTGATAGAGAACTGTGTTTTAGTTGTCGAAGGAGTTCCAGTTCGCGCCCTAAACTCGAACGAAGATCTTCGTTGAACTGGTTTTTCGTAACACGATTTCGGTAAACGTTTGTCTAAAATGGACCGCAAATCCGCTACCTTTTTAAATAAATAGTTTAAATAAATAAATAAAATACAAATATTTTTAGTATTATTATTATTAACTCTCTAAATAATTTATAACTTAAAATAAACAATTTTATTTTTTTGAGGAAAAATACTGAATACTCTACATAAATAACTTGAATGGAAAAAACTTCAAAATTAATTTATTTAAATAATATATTTCATTCATTTAATAAATAATTTTAAAAGCAACTTAAATTATACATTTTGATTGTAAAAATATGTAAACAATAATATAATTATTTTAAGTTAAGATAAATTAGTATTAATAATCTGATTCAATATTAAGCTGATTATAAGACTAATTTTATTATTGTATGATATATTTAAAATTTAAGCAATAAATTAATTTTTATGAAACTATTTCAATTTTTAAACTGATTATCTGTAAACTATTTATCTTGTATTAATATACATAAATTATAGTCTAGTATATTAGTACAGTATATACTGTATTTATTATATTTGGTAAGTCAAAAATATTAATATTTTCCACAATTAGTAATATATATCTCATTAAAGAAAGAAAGAAAGAAAGAGAGAGAGAGAGAGAGAGAGAGAGAGAGAGAGAGAGAGAGAGATTTTATGCGTAAAGTTTTTAATATTTTTCTTATCTTATAATTTAATATAAAACACTATAGTGTATTAACAATACATTAAAATAATAAATTTTTAAAATTATTTCAGTATTGACTGTAATTTACAAAAAGCATAAGAATGTAATTTTACGCTAATATTGTTTTTTCAGACAATTTAATATTAGGAGATTTTGACACAAAAAAAATTGTGATAATACTTACACTAAAATTGTTACTCATATAACAATAGATGAATGGATTGAGGAATGTGTGAAACTGTGACAATAGATGTGATGCAAAAAACAGTCCATAAAATAGATATTCATGTAGTTTACTGGTGGGGTTACGCAAGTCCTGGAAGATCCAGATTACCAGATTGTAGATTTGTAGGGGTGCCCAACATATTAGAAATACAGTTACCAGAGTGACCAACATTTTAATAACCTAATCGTCATTAGAAATAAACAATTTGTTAATAATATAGTACAGATTAAATAATATGTGTATGTGTATGTGTATGTGTATGTGTATGTGTATGTGTATGTGTATGTGTATGTGTATGTGTATGTGTATGTGTATGTGTATGTGTATGTGTATGTGTATGTGTATGTGTATGTGTATGTGTATGTGTATGTGTATGTGTATGTGTATGTGTATGTGTATGTGTATGTGTATGTGTATGTGTATGTGTATGTGTATGTGTATGTGTATGTGTATGTGTATGTGTATGTGTATGTGTATGTGTATGTGTATGTGTATGTGTATGTGTGTCCATGTAAATAGAATTTAATTAAATTTAATTTAACAAAATAAATGTATAGTATTTTACTATTAAATTCACTACTATTGAGTATTTAATGAAATGACAACGACTTTTGTTTCATTATATGTTAATTTTGCTAAACATTAAACTTGTTGTTCATTAGGAGAATATTTTTTATTAATTTTATTACTTTATGTGCGATAATATTAAAAAAGATTTTTCTGTTATGTAATTTATGTAACCAAAATTTTTTTTGACTAAAAATAGATTTTCTTTGTGTGTGTTTTTTCAGTCCTATATTTTATTATTATTAATAATAAATATAGAAATAATTATAATATAAAAAATAGTTATTCTGGAAATTACTAAAAAGTGATATAATAGCTACTGTACTGTAATTTACAATATACTTATTTATGTCAAGTAGATAATAATGTTTTAGTTGCTTTAGTGTGTAGAAATATATTAAATATATCATTTTTATATAAAAAATGTTAATAAAATGATAATATTTACTAATTTCTAGGACATTACAGATAAAAAAAATTACATTATATGTTTCAAATAAAAGCAAAACAATTACAATATTACTTTCATAATATTATATACAAGTCTCATTGGATAACAAACATAGCTATTACTAATACAGTATGATATCTTATATAAAATAAAGTTATATAAAATTAATAATTCATTAATTTTAAATATAAAAATTCTATACAATTATTATTATAATAACAAAATCCATATAAAAAATTGTATGACATTTATTGATTGACACTTTAATATCATTATTATTATTATTTTAGAGTTTTATATAATACTTTATGTAATATCTGTTACTTAAAATATTATTTTTTACATACAGTATAAAAAACTAATTTTTACTAAAATAATATTTTTATAGTATGTCAGATATTAATTACAACAACAAAATATTTTACAGAAACATATATCAACAAATATGTTTTATAAATTAATTATTAACATGCACAAATTTCTAATTAAATATATATTTATTACATAATATATTTTACGTTAAACTTTTTATATAAATTGAAATGTCGTAATTTATTATTAATAAAATTTAAGAAACTTATTAATAAATAATTTGATAAAATATATATGTTATGTAATTTTAATAAAATAATAATAATGTTGCAAATTGTAATATATATATATATAATTTGTTTAGCAGATGTTTGAATGGACAGTTACCTTAATTTTGATGCGTTGTTGTGCCCGATCCCGGTTGGTATGTGCCTCACCCGGCTGTATGTGCCGAAAAGTTTTAACACCGATCGAGCCGTAGAGGAATGTCAATGCAATAAACGGTACGATAAATGTGACGACAAATAGTACGCCCGAATAGATCATACTACTCAACTGGCCCTCCCATTCCTCACGACAGTCATAGTAGAGTTGGCCATCGATAAGATCAGTGAACGGTACAGTTCGGGCCACAAATAGTAGGGGCATTGATATTACCAGAGATAGAGACCATATGAAAAATAATATATAATACGTGTGCGATTCACACCACCAACAATATTTCAATGGATACACGATTGCCATATATCTTGATAAATATATTTTCATGTGTATTATTATAATAGCATTCAATAGAAATAATTTTTAAAACATATTATTAATGTATTATTGTTATTATTAAACATTAAATCATATTATTAATGATTTTTTAAAAATTATTTTTATAAACTAATAAAACTGTATATTATATACTGTAAAGAATATAGTTTAAAAGACTTGCATTATAATAATTATTCTATATACATATTATAATTTAATTAATTATAACTATCTCTAAAAATAAATACATACAATTCAATTAAGAGAGAGGGAGAGAGAGAGAGAGAGAAAGAAAGAAAAAGTTTAACTTAAATTTAAACAAAACATTAAGATATGTTTATAATATGTGGACAAAAATCAATTGTTCATTTATCTCATCTAAAATTTACATAATGAATAAAATTGTCATAAATAAACACAAATACTTTATATACACATAATGTGTGGGTTAGAGTAATAAATTAAATAAATATTATATTTAGTACTAAAATACATTGTAAAGTATTGATTATATGATAATATAGATGATTGTACTGTTATCTAACAATATATATATATATATCTGTATATATATATACTGTTTATATTGAAAATTGTTGATTTACTGCGACTCTATTTATTTATAACTTATATAACATAGATTTATAATATACAATTTATTTATACATAAATACCCTTGGGTGATCTATATTATTTAACACAATTTATGTCATAAATAATATAAAATTGTTTAATTATTATACAATCAATGGATAATATTTATAAAAACATATAGTAATATTAATGAATGCATTAATATATCATAAATAAAATTAAATGTTTATTTTTGAAAAAATTAATATAATAAATTTAATTTATTAAATATTTTTAATTTAAAATTTGATTAAAACTTTTATATATATTAATTGTAGTTAAAATAAATAGTTAATTATATAATATTAATTATATAATTTAACATTAAATAGTTTTTTAATGTAGTGAATAATTTTATTTTTTAAAAACATTAAGTGTTAAGTATATAGTCATTAAAACAGTAAATGACAATCAATAGTGTGTTTCAAAATGTCATAGCAGTAGACAATATTAGTTAAATTATAAAATATATAATTAAATGAACAGCTAATCTAATTGTGTGGTTATCTAATGACAACTGTTTTTAATTATAACCGTTAAAGTATTGTTATAATCATTTTGATAATACTGTCAGAAATGTATAATTAAAATAATTTTTTATAATTGCATTTATGCAATCAAATAAACCTATTACGACCTATCTATGTAAAAAACAATTAAATTATATGAATTATAAAAATGCAAAAAACAACAAATTTAATTTATAAAAACCATATAAAAATATAGGAATAGTTAATAAACAAATATTATTTTTATCGATTAATTCTATATAATGTTAATAATTTTATTAATAAAAACAGTGTGAGTATATTTGTTTATTATTAATAACTTAATAATTATATCACACATAGTGTTGGCAAAAAAGAGAAATTTATAAAATAATAGAGAAATTTCTAGAAAGTTTCTAAAAGAAATTTCTATTTATGGGATCCCCATGGTTAATTTTGTTTTGTCGACATTTGTTATCTTTAACATTGTTTTTATAAGTAATATTTAAATATTATTATTAGTATTTTAATTATTAATTAAAGTAAAAAATTAATTTATTTAATTATATTAAACTATGTTATAATAAAATGGTGAATAAAATTTTACAAAACTGTTTATTATTAAATAATTATAATTATTTATATAGGTATCCCATTTGTATAATAGTATTATACAGTAATCTACATTATATAGTATAATATTATATATACTGTATAGTAGTATGTCTCATTAATATATTTATAGTTTTATAATATCTATAGATATGGGGATCCCATAGTATAAAAAAAGTTAAATTTCTATAGAAATTTATTACTGAGAAACTTTCTCAGGGAAATTTATTAGAAACTTTCTATTTGCCCATCTCTAATCACACATATTCATAGCTATAATTAGGCGATTAGTAAAATAAATAGACAAAAAATACATTATATGCTTATGTCTGTTCAAACAAGATATTAGTAAACGTATAATTATTTTTGTTTTTAATTATCCTAAATTAATACGATTTTAATATTAATAATATTAATTTTAAGTGTAAGTTTGTATAAAAGGTTCAAAAATATTTTGATTAAAAAATACTAATATTGATTGTATTGAAACTATATTAAAACTAATATAATATTAATATATTTATTAAATATTACAACTAAAATGTTTACTATTAAAATATAAAAAACTACAGTAATTTACAATATTTTTATATAATTAGAAAATGATTTCAAATCTTATAAATAAAATTATTTATGCTTTTTTAGTTTTGCAAATATTTAACGTAAAATTAATTTTAAAACAATTTTTAATGCTATTAATATTTTTGATATTTTTAATAATAAATCTTGAATTTTTTAAAAATAATTTTTAATTTACACTTAATTTTTCAAAGGTATTAAATATGAAAATATTTTTTCATACAAAAATTAATCCATTATTTTAAAATAGACGTTTAATAAAAAAAATAATATATAATGTAAATTGTTTTTGAGTTGCATATAAAATATTCTAGTAATCAATTTGTTTAATACAAAAAATATAAATATTAAATTAAAAATTGATTGATTGCAAAATATATTATTAATTTTTAATAAAATATAGTAGTGTACAGTATTTTAATAATATTTAGTACCTATATTACTAAAAACAATTTTTGACAAATATTTTCATAAATAATTATAAACTAAATTAATTTTACAATTTCATTCTTGTTTTAACATTTTAATTTTGCTAAAATTAATATTAACACTTGCTTTAAAAATGATTTTGTTATTTTAATTTATGCTTAAAATATTTTATATATTTTTAATTAAAACTTTATTAATCATATTTAATAAGATTAACAATAAATATTATTTATTTGTTAGAATACAATGTATTTAATTACAGTAAAACAGTAAATTTATCTTACTTTTGAAACAATATTCTCTCTCTCTCTCTCTCTCTCTCTCTCTCTCTCTCTCTCTCTCTCTCTCTCTCTCTCTCTCTCTCTGGCATTCAAACTATTTAACGCTTGGCTTTGGGGCAATAGTATAGTTACTATACTATACTATAGTGCGACAAATATTGACAATATTTTGTTTTAATATTTACATAAAAAAATTACTTTTTATTAAGATTACTGTTTTTTCGTAAATGACTCAATAATATTAGAGATGTTTTAATTAAAAAAGTATTAAATTATAAGTTATTGGCATAAATTGTTATATACAATATTTATATAAAACATGTATAATTAAAATCTTCTATGTTATTTATTTAATTTCTATAAATTAATAATAAAAGTTGATTTATATTATAAATAACAATTTTTGAAGAAAAACTTTGAAAAATAATTCAATTACATTAATTAATATTTTGTATATTATTGTTAACCCTGAATAGTTTTGTTATTGAATGAAATATTTTTCAATAAGATTTCTATTAAAACGTACAGTACTTTTCTCATCTAATCTTTGATTAAATTAATCACTTATTTGATCGCCAATTCTCTGTTTGTAATATGAAATACGCTTTCTATAAATATAAATCAATTTATCTATAAAATTGTATACAGTATTGCATATTAGTTAACTTTAGTATAGAATTTTTATATATATATATAATTGTAATCAAGTTGTTATTATTGAAAATGTTTATAACACAGCATATTGTAGTTATAAATTAGGAAAACTTTTAATTATATTAAATATTACTTACAGATGATTAGTCTACTATACAAAACTACTTATACATTATAGACAATTTTAAATGGCTTCAAATAATTGATTTAATACAGTTAGTATTATAGTTACTGTTACTGTATAAAACAAAAGTAATACTATATAAATTGTTATGCGTTTACTTATATTATTACTAATATATATTTAATCGGAAATTGATTTCGATGGCTATATTTATATTTTCATTTATACTGTATATACTATACACTGTATATTTTATTTTTGTTATGAAATTTAGTTAATGTTTGCCAATGTGTCGGGAAATAAATAAATAACTAAATAAAAATAATACCCTTAGTTAATAAAATGGTTTTTATAACAAACAAAAACTAAAATATCATTTACAATAGTTTATATAAATTACAAGAGTGACCAAAAAACAAGTTTGAGTCTAGACTTAAATCCCTGTAATTGATCAGTTGATGTCCAAATCAATAAAATTGGTTTAAATAATTTATAATATTGTATTGAAAAATACAAATACAATAAAAAAATAATAAATCAGTTTGATTTATTATACCATTTAAATTATAATATTTAAAATATATCCGAAATTTATATATATATATATTAAAAAAACTTTAACAAAAATACAATGATTGCTATTTAATATTTTACTATTACTTATACAGTAAAAATATATTAATACAGTACTGTAGATAATTAATATAAAGTACAGTATATTTACTATGTAGTTACAGTATAATAAATTTTATATACTTCACAATTAATTTTCAGAGAGTCTTAAACAGCGGCGGCGGCGGCGATGGTATTAATTTCAATTATCTGGTCAACAATACGTTCAATTTAAAAGTGACCAAGGGCAATGTTGTAGATAATTTTATACTAGTTAAAATTGTAATTGGTCATTTTTTAATTAATTGTATTATATGCCAGATAATATACAGAATTTAAAATGTTTAAAAAATTTATAAATTATAGTCGACTGCAATTATCTAGGAAATCATACAATTAATTAATAAAAATGACCAATTACAATTTTATCCAGTATAAAATTATCTACAACATTGCCCTTGGTCACTTTTAAATTTAACGTATTGTTGACCAGAAAATTGAAATTAATACCATCGCCGCCGCCGCTGTTTAAGATTCTGTCATGAATTTTTTATATTAATTTTTTATATAATCTTTTAGCTAATACTCTATAATGTTATTTCACACAATTTACATAGATATTAAATTTTGTAATTTTATTTGTTGGCTAGTATTTATATTAATTAAAAATAAATTTGACATTTAACATTTTGCCAAAATATATTCAAATATTTGTACTATTTTGTTAAATTTTAAGTAATTCATTATTTTTGAGAAAAATAATTATAAATTACATATTTTACATTAAATTGATGTTATTATTTTCTAAATATTTATTTTGTATAATTAAAAAAATATTTATTAAATATTTCAAATTTATTTAAACTACTATATCCACAAATTTGAATTTAAAGTTTATATACAAAATTAGTTTACACCACTAATATATAATTGTTTTATCATTACTATTTAAAAAATAACCTAATTGAGTTTATGCCTTAATGATAATAAGCAATATTGCAAAATATATTGACAATATATTTAGTTAGATAATTATCTATTAATATGTACAAACATAAACATGTTGATTGTTTATATATCAGATTTTTTTCCAAACTGATTATAAAAATAATTTTGTTTTTTAACTGAGGAATTAAAATTTAATGGACTATTTATTATCATTAGTTATTTTATAGCTCATAGATTTACAAATATTATTTATATATAAATATCAATAGTATAATACAGTATAGTAAATATACAGTAGTAGTAGTAATAGTTTATAATAACGTCT